GGAGGTGTGTATAATCTAGCAGGTACAAATACTTCCTTTCTAGAAAGTAAAACAAGATAATACCCTGTATACAGTTAGGAGACAATCAAAGGATCCTCTTTGTTGTGCTCAGTATTTATTTATAATAATTTCTCTCAGAGTGGTAGAAACTTAATCTTGTTAAATACAGATTCCATCAGGGTTGTGCCTATGTAGTATCCAGATGTTCACATGGTGAGGTGAGTTTAATCCTCAAGGTCTCTATCCTGACCAGCATCTGTTGAAATGCCACTAAATAATCATGCAGATCATTGCCAAGCCTTCCCTTATTTTTGGCCTTAGGTTCTTTTCAAGTTTGGCTTTCTTTTAGCCACTACAGTGACTCCTTGCAGGGGGTAAACCCTATAATACTCCCGCCCCCAGACTGTTTGCTTAAACACAGCACTCTGTTACTTTCATCCTGGGGTCATGCCACTGCACTGAATTCTGTCTGGGACTGAGGTTGCTCTGTTCTTTCCTTTCCTCATTGAGGCTGAATCACGGATGAACAGAGGAGAGGGCTTAATCTTGGGTGAAGTGATAGTCACAGTGTATGGAGTTCCTTCTTAGGAGCTACAATAGGCCCAGACTACTTTAGCTTCGAAGAGTAGAAATCCTAATCAACAGAGAATTTAGAAATTAATTGCCTCACACACAAGCGCTATGGAGATGGAAGCAGTACTGACATACCACTTTATGTGACCGAGAATCTATCTTCCCGCCTTACTTCCCCTTCATGACCCTTAACTGTTGGATTTGTTGTGTTTTTCACCACTGTGCTTGTCATATTTACAAGGTGTGCTTGTCATATTTTACAAGATGATACCTCCAGGTGTAATATCCATGATCAAGATAGGGAAAAGGAGTAGCACCAACTATATACCACTCTATCAGAAAGTAAAAGCTTTCTCCTAAGCCATCCAGAAATCCACAGTATTTTCCTTATACCACATTGTCCAGAACTATGTTTACACATGCTCATAAATATGTCCAGAAATAGCCAGTAAAGCTAGAAAAGTGAGTATATGTATTTCTTAGCCCCTTTAAAATTGGCAAAAGAAACTGTGGGTTGAGAAGGTTATCAGGTTCTTTAACTGTTAGGGATAGAAAAGGGCTTCCCTACACTCCATCAGAGGAACACAGCATTTCTGCAATCCCACAGTGCTGCTGGGGCTATCACTTTGTTTCAAGCACTCTATAAGTTCTGGCAGGTCTGGGAAGCCTGGGGACTCTTTTAACTATTGTTTCCACCCACTCAAAAAGAGGGAGGAAGAAGTTCCAATTAGTCCCAGAATGAATTGGGAGGAACGATAGGAGCAAGGCATGTGTAATTAAGTGAGAGCCTTCTCCACCCAGAAAGGGGGGGGAAAAAAAAAACAACTTAAAATTACTACTTTACTGTTCAAGACAGCTCTCCTACTTTTTGAGAATGCCCACTGCTTCTGCAATATTCTGTTCTATGGCTTCCTATAAAACTTTGCTGCTGCCTTCATTCTGGTGCTTCATGAAATTTTTTTCTGGTAAGACACCAAGGACCCTCAGGTATCATGGTCCTCAATACCACTACCAAAATCTGGCTTTAAGAATTCATGAATGATCTACACAATATAGTCCAAAAAAAAAAAAAAAAAAAGAGAGAGAGAGAGAGAATTCATGAATGTCGGAGTGCTCACTTTTCTTCTATCTTTATTCCCTCTTATCCTAGAAACTTTTAGACAGTCTCTCTGGGGCAGGTATTAAATTGGTTTACTCAATATCCATTTCTAATCACCTTCTCCATTGTTTTCTTCTACTCTATAAGTTAGAGATATCTAAATGCTCAATTTTCTCAGCGTCTCTTGCTTCTAAGGGTCATTATATTATCTCATTCTAGCCAGTCTGGGGTGTATGTGACTTCTCTTCCCAAATAAAAAAAAGCCAAAGACTCAGGGGAGAAAGCATTTTGTCCTTGTCATTCTGCTCTTTTCCTGTGTGGAACTTAGCCTTGATGCCTGAAGGTACAGTCACCATCTTGTTACTATGAGGGGACAAATATAAGGACACCAAGGTTATGGAACAAAAAGAATGCAGTTGGTTTATAGTACCCTGGATTCACTGCATCACACCTGCATGGTCTACCTATGAACTTTTCATATGAGACTAACAGATCCCTAATTATTTAAGACAAAGATAGAATTTTCTGCTACTTGCACCCAAATATAATCCTAATATAGACAAGCAAGGTCTACTGTCTTTGCTAGAGTTGTTCCTGCTCTTCTAAACAGTCCTAAGATAAAAATTCAAAAGTAACAAAACAATCTATTTTTCTCTAACATTTTGCTTTGTCATAAAGTGCCACATAATTTGTCTAAATGGGGAAGGGTTATATGGGGTACAAGGAATTTAAGGGGAAAAATTTTTTTGATAAAATATCTCACCATAGTTGCAAGTACACAGAAACCTACTTAAAATAGGCTGAGGTAGAAAGAAAATTTGTTATCTCAAGCGTGTAAGGATAGGATGTATACATGACCCTCACTATGGACAGGCACCGGCACTGGAAATCTGTTAGGGACTATTGTAGCTGTTGTCCCTTTCTTATCTGGACACACGATCTCTGATGGTCTGCTTTATTCTTTCCTCTGGGCATTAGATTTATCTGCTCCTTTGTACATAAAACAGAAAACTCTCCCTTCAACTGTATAAATTCAAAGTAAGATTACATAACATCTCTTATTTTTTAAGTTCTGATTGGTCTAATTTTGGTTGTGTGTCAATCTTTAACCCAAATAGTGATCATGGTAATGGTGTCAAATAACTTAGCAATTCTTAGAAACTAAGGAAGAGTAATTTTTCTGAGAAGGGATCATGGGTGTGTGTGACTCCCCCCGCTGTGAGTTCATGTGAGTGGTTTTTGGAAAAGAAATGATGGACTTCTCTACTAATCTCCTGATATCCCAGTCTGCTGAAGGGAAACTCAAATTAATGATTTATTCATTCCACAAACATTGGTCTCACTTATTCTCCACCTTATGTTTTCTCTTGGAGAATGTCAGTTCCATTTTATGTATACCTAGGTGATAGGCTTTCTACATGCATTTTTATTTTATTTTATTATTTAATTTTTCTTTTAAAGTTTTATTTATTTTTGCATACAAGAACTGGGGTACAGGCCAGAGGTGGGCTAAGAGGATTTACCAGAGACACAGTAGGGAGCAGAACAGGCAGATCTACTGAAATACACTGCTAAGGGGAGCAGTGGGCCCCACAGGAGAGGTCTGCTGTGCCATGTGGGTTAGCTCCCTGGCCAGGGATCGAACTCATGCCAGTGTGGTGGACCTTCAGTATAGTAGTGCTGAGACTTAACCCCAGGCCACTGGGAGGCCCTACATGCATTATTTTAAATTCAATATCACAACAAGCCTATAAAAAAGTATCATCTATTTTATTGATTAAAAAAAATGAAAATTAGAGATTCAACCTGCTTCTGATGTTGCCCTTCCCATCCAACTTTTGCTTGGTTCTCATAGTGGTATTTCTAAAACACAAATCTGATCATGTTACTTTCCTGTTTAAAAATCCTACTTTGGTTCCCTTGGGATAAAGGTCAAATTCCTTTAAATGATGTAGAAAACCTTTTTGGAAAAACTTTTATCTTTACCAAACTGCATCCTCATGTCTTTCAGTTATGCACCTCACTCTCTATGCTCAAGCCATACAAGTTATTTGCAGTTTTTAACAGTTTATTTCTAACTTGTGCACACCAACCCCACAGTCTTTTTCCCAGCTGACTCCCATACATTATTCAGATCCAGAATGCAGTTTAGATATTACTCACTCCCAGAAGACTTCTCTGATTGTAATTTGGGTGTCCCTTTTTTGTTACTTCTGTAGCTCTCAGTGCTTTTCTCCTGTATTTATCACACTATATTTAATTGTTAACTCCTTCTGTCTCTTTTAGCAGATTGTAAAATCCTTGAGTGGAGGGGTTATGTCTGCTTCAGTGTTGAATACTTTTTGGTATTTGGTGTATAGCACTTCCTCAAAAATATTTGTTAAATGAATGACTGCAGCAGAAATCTAGATGAACCCACAAAATTACTGGAGATAAAGATATTCAACATTTCTTCTTCTGAAAATAGATTATTTTGACAGCTATTTCTCTTATTCCTATTGTTTTAACTTAAATTACAAAGATTGAGCAGACAAAAAGTTAAAAATTGATACTTACCTGAGAAAACATATCACAAAATAAGAAAGTGATATAAAATAATGAAAGTATCAAACCTATTGAAATATAAAAAAAAAACTGAGTGAAGCTGTGCAAAGTGGGAGGAAAAACAAGGAACTGCACTTTTTTTCAAAGCAGTAAATTGAATGTACTTTGCTGGTGATATCTCATTTAATTCTTAAAATACATCTTTGAGGTTGATATGTTATGCCGATATTAAAGATGAGTAAATTAAATGACCTTACAGCAAAATAAATGAAATAATCATACGTTATAGAGATAAGAAATGAAAAATTAAAATTAATATTAGAAGATATTACAAAGACTATGTTAAGGCAAATGATCGGACACAATAAATAATCCTGTTGCTGGGACTGGATTTCTGTATAAACTCTCCAGCAGTCTCTCCTTTACACTTTTAGCTGCTCTGGCTTTTACTCTTTTTGCTGCTGCTTTTCAACAGGATAAATACCACCTCCTCTCAAGTTTTTTTTTGCCTCAGTTAAATTTCTTCTTGAGGGAAACTTGCTTCATTAGACTAATTTTTTTGATTTAACTAAACTTTTTTGAGTCTAGCAAAGCACAGTTCAGGGAATTGTGAGTAACAGAAGCAGTAAATATCGACACTAAGTAGTAAAACGCTGCAAAATGCTTGTCCTTGGCTGCAAAGGAGACCCGGGCAAGATTCCCCAGCAGAAGAAACTCAGACTTGTCGCTAGGGTGAGGAAGCCGAGCGTTGCCACATGACGTCATCAGCACGCGCCAGCCGACTGTTTCCGGGCTGAGCGCGCGGGGCTGCGTTCTGTGCCATGGGGTCTTGGCGCCGTGTGTTGCATTTTGGAGGGGTGTCTCTTCGGGGTGGTAACGGGACCTATGCCCCGCGTGGGGGAAGCCGAGTGTTGGTTTGTCGGCGCCAGGTCCGTGGTGCTGAAGGGCGAAGGGAGGCGGGCGGGACGGAGGTATTGGAACATTGGGTCTCCAGGTGCTCTGGCATTGCACCTTATCAAGACTCGCCTCAACCCCAAGTGGGCTCGCCTTGGCTAGGTGACCCCTGTTTCTAGGCGGTCCCCCAATAGGACCAGGCCGGGGAGTGGCAGGACATGAAATTTATGGTTAGAATATGCATATATGACTTGCACATTGCTTTCTTTATGGTGGCTTATGTAGGTTTTTATAGGCTAAAAAGAAGGCAGACACTGAGGATTTAATTTCCTAAGGAGGCAGCTTTTTTATTTTTTAACGTCAGCATATCCTGGTGGATAAATTTCAAGTTAAACAAGATGTGTCTAGAATTGTGATTAATGGCCATATATAAATAGCATTAAAGGCCTAACTAGTGGATATGAACAGAGCTAGACTCGAAAGTCCTCTAAATCACAAACTTCGAATTGTTTTTACTTTTACAGCATGATAATGGAGATGACTTCTTTCTTTCTTTTTCTTTTTCTTTTTTTTTTTTTAAGTTAACTGATTCTGAAAGTGAGACCCTAAAACAAAGAAGAACACAAATCATGTCCCGAGGACTTCCAAAGCAGAAACCAATAGACGGTGTTAAACAAGTCATAGTTGTGGCTTCTGGAAAGGGTGGAGTTGGAAAGTCTACTACAGCAGGTACAGAAGAATGTTAATTCTCATCTTGATTATCACCTTATGTCAACTGAGAAGTGCACAGTATTAAAAAGTATTTGTGAAATTCCTAATAGCTATACAATTCCTTGGTGTCAGGAGTTGGTATTGAGAGCTTAGATTTTTGGAAATAGACAAAACTGTGTGTGTAACTGGGTCTTTTATTCCTTAACTGAAGAAAAGGTGGTCAGGTTCCCCATCAGATACTTACTTAACTGTAAAAATGGCACTGATGATACTAGTATACAAATTAAACAAGCGATCTACTTACTCCAGTGTCTCCTACATGGTAAATAAATACTCAGTGTTTGGTTGCTATTATTTTTAAAACATTTAGTAACTTGATTTCTCAGTTATTTCTAGTCTTTAATTTCCCCTCAGTCATTTTTTTTTTTTTTAAATTTATACAAGCACTGGGTACAGTCAGAAGCGCGGGAGGGTGAGAGAATTCACCAGAGCCAGAGCGGGGAGCAGAGCAGGCAGAAGGACCGAAGTACACTGCTGAGGGGAGCAGCGGGCGGCAGGAGAGGTCTGCGCGCCATGTAGGACCCTCCTCCGGGGCCGGGGTGCAGCCGGGGATCGAACCGGCGCCTCTTCCCTGCAGAGGCTGCGGGTAGCTTCACAACCCAGCGCTCAACCGCTGCGCCACCGGGGAGGCCTCCCCTCAGTCTTTATACATATAGCTGCACAGTTACAATGAGATTGTTTACATTATTGTGCCTTTTGAAAAACCTAACCATGATATAATTTTCGACATTCATAAATTCAATATAGATCTAATGTTAGAAAATGCTTGAAAACCTTTTAATGTTACTTTAGTTATTTAAACTATTTTGAAATTGATTGTAGACTTCATTTTGACTGAAGTGTTGCTTTTACAACCCACAAAGGAAGTGCATCCAGATATTAAAGTTATCATTCAGCACTAATAATCAGCTTTTCCCAAAATTTTTCAAAAGAAACCTTTTATTTCTTAAAAAAAAAAAAAAAAAAAGCTCCCAGTGAAGAAATGTGAAAGTCTAATGGCCTCCCAATCCTACTCAAATGAAGTAATTTTATTATAAATTTGGAGTCATAAAGTACTCATGTCTTATTGTTGCCTCATATTTAATTATCAATCATTTCAAAAGGAATGACTGCTAATTCAGGTCTTATCTGATCTATTTGTTTTTCAGCTGTTTGAAAATGACCCCTTATATATTTTAGTTAGTTTTGACAGTTTTAGACTGACCACTATCCATTGTGTTTGCTTGTCCCTTTCCCTTTTCCTTCCCTCTTAACCTCAGAGCCTCAGGATATTTATTGATGTCCACTAGTTTTTGAAAGTGTCAAAATTGTCTGCTTCATGAATGTCCACTTTGTGTTTTTATCATTCTGACTTACTTTGCTGTATATAATTCTCTCAAATTCCCTCCATTTTGTTGAAAATGGCTGCATTTCATCCTTTCTTTTGGCTATATTATACTCCATGGTATATGTATATACCACATCATTTTGATCCATTTGTCTGTTGAAGGAAACTTAGACTGCTTCATGCCTTAGCTATTGTAAATAATGCTGACATGAATATTGTAAAACATGTGGGGATTTTTTTGTTTGTTTATAATTTCATATTCTGTGGCTATCTGCCCAAGAGTGGGATTGCTGGGTTATATGGTATTTCTTTATTTATTTTTTAAGATAAATCCAGATTGCTTTCCATAATGGTTTCACCAATTCACGTTCCTACCAATAGTGTAACAGGGTTCCCTTTTTTCCACATCCTCTCCAGCACTTGTTGGGGGTCTTTTTAGTATGTGTTATTCGCACAGGTGTGAGGTGGTATCTTGTAGTTTTAATCTGCATCTCTGTGTAACTGTTGGTATTACATGTATTTATTCATCTCCCACTCTAACACAAAATACTTCCTGCTTAAATATGTATGCTAGAGGTATTTTGCATTAGAATGATGACATTTGTTCTGTAATTATGTTGTATAAATGCAGAAAGACTAAATGCATACATTAAATACTAAAATGCATCATTCACAAAAAGTTTGTGCTTAAAAGCTGGATTATGTTAACCTTGTGATGTTTTTGAAATTCAGAATTACTTTCTATTTTGTAAAAATTAATTTACCAAAGTGTCATGCCAAGGCTAAGTACTTTACTTAAGGTATTTAATTTAATTGTTAAAACAATTATGAAATACAAATACTCTCATTTTATAGAGAACACAAGCAGGGAGTAAAATTTCCTACTCAAATTTACGTAATAGAAAGTGGTAGATCAGGAATTGAACTAGGTCAGTCTTGAAGTTTACATTCTTAACTACTATAAAGGAAACAACCTCAGCATCATTTTTAGTCGACACTTACCTTTAAAAGACAATAGGATCAGGGCCTCCCCAGTGGCGCAGCGGTTGAGCGCTGGGTTGCGGCGCCGGTTCGATCCCCGGCTGCTCCCCGGCCACTGGAGGAGGGCCCCACATGGCGCGCAGACCTCTCCTGCGCCCGCTGCTCCCCTCAGCAGTGTACTTCGGTCCTTCTGCCTGCTCTGCTCCCCGCTCTGGCTCTGGTGAGTTCTCTCACCCTCCCGCGCTTCTGACTGTACCCAGTGCATGTATAAACAAACAAACAAATAAACACATAAACATGCCTCTATAAAAAAAAAAGACAATATGATCATATCCATTTTAATTTTTTAAAAGATAATTCTTTTTCTGTAAAATATGTTTCTGAAAATAATTGAACTATTTATACCTTAACATTGTTTTGAAAAACTAGTTTATTTAAATGAAATTGTAACAGATTATAAATGGGTTATTTAAAATGTTAATTTTGGGACAGGTATCTATTATGTTGGAATATTGCTTTCTTTTTTGTCTTTTTTACTTTCTACATTTCCATGTTCTTATTTTTATTAAGTAAGGGAGATACATTAAAAATTTCTGTTCTCTGTGTATTACATTGAAAATATTAAAAAGCAAAATGAATTCACCTTTTAGGAAAGTCACTACATTTAACTACTTGTTTGTTTTTTGCAGTGAACCTTGCTCTTGCACTATCAGCGAATGATTCGGTAGGTATTTATAAATAAAATGTTAATTTATTAAAATGTTTTTTAAGGTAACGATAAAGAGCATATTGATGTTTTTCATTTTCTGTATCTGAAGCCTAGTGTGTAGCTTTAATCAATTGCATGCCTTTATGGAACTCAAAATGCTGCTATAAGTATTGGTTATATTTAATAAAAATGAAAAGAGACCACGGGTTAAGGAATTCAGGCAGCCTCTGGAAGCTAAAAAAGGCAAGGAAGTGGACTCTTCCTGAGAGCCTCTAAAAGGCTCCTGCCAGCACCTGAAACCCATTTTGGACTTCTGTGACAATTTTTTTTATAGAAGTAGGATACTAATACATGAGGAAGTAAATTTTCTTGATTCTTTATTTGCCTTGTTTTTTGAAAGTTTAACTAGATGTAGAATTTTAGATTCAAAATAATTTCCTCTTCGTAACTTGAAAACAGTGTTCCATTTTTTCAAGTGTGCTGTTGAAATGTCTGATGCTAGTCTGGTTATATTTCTATTACCTTATGTCTTATTCTCCCCTGCCCCCAAGCTTTTAGGATATTATTTATTTTAAGGTTATAAGTGTCACAAAAATGTGTCTAATTGTTGCTTTACAAATTTTTACCTGCTTGGAAATTGGCCAAGCAGTATCAACGTTTGAACCTTTTTTAGCTTAGGGAAAATTTCTTCATTGATTACTCTTTGCGATGTATTTGTTCTTTCTCCAGAAATATATTAGGTAGATATTGACTCTTTGAACTTACTCATTTTTCTCTCATAGTTTCCAACTCTTTGTCTTTTGCTCTGTGTTTTGGGAGATGTCTTAGACTATTTTTCACATTATTGTATTGGGTTTTAGTTATTATTTAGGTTTTTTCTTAAATTGGAAAATTTTCCCAGATTTCCAGAACTATTTTTATTTTTCCAATTGTTGTCCTCTAAAAAAATTACTTGTACTAAACTTTTTAATCTCTGCTCTAATTGGAATTACTAAAAAATGTTTCTCTTGGGCCTTCTTGGTGGTGCAGCAGGTTGAGTGCAGTGCTGTGAAACTGTCCGCAGCCTCTGCAGCGCGGGTTCAACCCCGGCTGGCTGGGGAGAGACCTACATGGCACAGCAGACCTCTCTTGTCTTGCCCGCTGCTCCCCTCAGCAGTGTATTTCTTCTGTCTGCCTGTTCTGTTCCATGCTCTGTGTCTGGTGAATCCTCTCACCCTCCTGCACATCTGGCCTGTACCCCTGTTCTTGTGTAAATGGATAAATCTTTTTAAAAAAATGTTTCTCTTGATCTCTATTTACTTTGTTGGCTCTTAGAATATGATCCTCAGATCAGCAAAATCAGTAGCACTTGGGAACCTGTTAGATTTACAAAATCTTGGGGCCCTGCCTCAGACCTACTGGATTAGAAATCCTGGTGGTGAAGCCCCTCAATATATGTTTTAACCAGTCTTCTAGGTGATTTTGATGTAGGATAGTTGAGAACCTTGGATCTGGAGGTTTTTTAAAACTAAACTGCTAATTAAAATTTTGTCTTCTAATGTATTTATGATTTTTATTTAGTAGTTTTTAAATAATTTTTTTCTTTTGGTTCAATGGGAACTTGAAGAGAACTTGAAGAGAAGGGAGATTATCAGTGTGTGTTTAGGGAGCCTTATTAAAGTTAAAGCCAGTAATACGTTAGGAAAATATTTTTGTTAGGGCACTTATTTACCCTGGAGAAGGGTCTTTACTTCCTTAAAGGAAGAAATGGGGAAAATTCTGTGGTGGGGAGGGAATGTAGAGAAATTTGTTGGTGTGGGGTGTGTTAATTGGCTATCATTTTAGTCAAACCTTTCAATCCTAAGACTTTGTGTGGCAACTGTGTGATAAAGGATCAAAGGATAAAAAGAATATTTTTCAAAAGAGATTGATTCTTGGGCCTTCCCTGGTGGCACAGCGGTTGAGCGCTGGTTTGCGAGGCTGCCTGCAGCCTCTGCGGTGCCAGTTCGATCCCCGGCCACCGGTGAGGATCCCACAAAAAAAAAAAAAAAAACAAAAAAAAAGGTTGAGTCTTTCATGTTAAATGTTGCTTTTTTTGATGAGGTGGTAGCTCAGGAAATTTCTTGTTTTCTTTTTTTCTTTCAGGTAGCAAGAGGTAGAGGTAGAGCTTCATTTTTATTGCTTTTTGTATGTGACAGGCAAATTGGCAACAAAAAAGGAAGCAACAAGACTATTTCTAGACTGCTTTTTCAGAAAATATTCAGCATCCTTATGAAGTTTTAAACTTATTTGTAATCTTCAGGAAGGTTTCAGTATCCTGCCATCCTGATGAGGGTTTTTTTTCCTTTTTGTTCTTGATATATTGTAGCAGTTAGTATGGAAATCAGGAAGAAAATAGTCCAGAAATTTGAGCAGCTTATTATGATAATTCAAAGATAGTATGACATAATATGATATACTATAACCATTTGATTGGCTACTGTCTTGTCCTCTCTAATTAATTTATATATACTTAAGAAAGATGATTTTTATATAATTTTCTTGATTAATAGTACTTTTAATTAGACAGCAGCCTGTTAAAATTGTGATCTGTGCTGCGGACCAGCACAGCAGTAGACGATGAGGCCGTCTCAGGGTTGAGCAATCTGCCAGAGGATTGCCTGCATATAGAAAAGAAGACTATATCTTTTCTATATTTATATGTATATGGTGTAGTCTTATACTCTGTACTTCCCAATTTAAGACTTTCTTCATATTATCTTATTTAGAGGAAACATTTCATTTTTTAGAGGAAATTCAGGCTTCCTTTCAGCCTTTCTGTTTGCCTATTTTTTTTTATTCAGATGGTTTAGGTACAAGGACATTTATTGGGACAAAGTTCTGGGGTGTGTTGATTTATGATTTATGTCTTTAAGTACTCCATTTAGCATGGTCTCCTGGAACCTCTCTGGCCATGGAGTCTTATTCCATGGAGTTGTATTTTAAGAAGGGATCTTTGACCTATTTCTCATTAGGCCAAATTTGCTTAAGACTTGTGAATAACTCTTCTGTTCTATCTTTTCCATGGGTTGGTGTTTGCTCTTTTTTAGACTTGGAGAGGAACAATCTAATTTGATTAAGTTGTAGGACTAGGGAAAATAGGTCCAGAAGTTATTCATTTTACCCTTGATATGGCTTTAATATTTTCTAAACATGGGGCCTCCCCGGTGGCGCAGCGGTTGAGCGCTGGGTTGCGAAGCTGCCCGCAGCCTCTGCAGCGCCAGTTCGATCCCCGGCTGCTCCCCGGCCACCGGAGGAGGGTCCCACATGGCGTGCAGACCTCTCCTGCCGCCCGCTGCTCCCCTCAGCAGTGTACCTCAGTCCTTCTGCCTGCTCTGCTCCCTGCTCTGGCTCTGGTGAATTCTCTCACCCTCTCACACTTCTGACTGTACCCAGTGCTTGTATGTATAAATAAATAAATTAATCTTTAAAAAAAAATTTTTTTCTAAACAAGGTTGTGTAAACTCTGGGGGAGGCAGTATATAAGATAGTTCTTTGGGCTGTGAGAACTTTTTCTATTTGTATTAATTTTAATCTTATCTTTAAAAAATTGTGTTTTTTGTATATCCTTTGTAATTTATACCATGTTAGTATTGCAGTTCTAGCATAATTTATAATCATATATATATATATATATATATAGAGAGAGAGAGAGAGAGAGAGGGAAGGGATGTGTGTTTAAACATTTTTTAGTGGTTGAAATGTGTTAAAGTGTGTGATCAAAAAAGTTTGGATGTCATTGGCCTAGGCAAGAGGAATTTCTGGAATGTATCATAAGCCCAGTTCAAAGGAAGACTACTTGGTGGATTGAGGTAAAGGTAAAGTGTGGGTTTTCCCTTGTCTTTTGTACTTTCCTTGGGGACATGGGTAGCAGTATTTCAGAGCAGAATTTTGGGATCATGTATGCCATGCATCTAGTATTGTGTCCAGTGGTGTGTTGGAACTGACTGCTGCCTTCTGAGAGCCAATTGTTAAATTTTTGGGCCTTTTGCAAACCAGTTGATACCTTGTTAGCTTGGTATAGTTCATGATAGGAGTATCTAAAACAAATGAAAATTAGCAAATACTGAAAATGAGCTGGTTTTAAAACATTTACTGGCAACCATTGATCATATATATTGACAGCCATGTTTCTTGATTCTTCCTCCCCATCTTCTTAATAACCCTTATTGTAGATCTCATTGTTCTATAGTATAAAATTAATCACAATGGGATGAGCACTGAGACTGGGAGAGGGAAACATAAAGGCTACTGGAAACTTGATAAGGCCTCAGAGTTTCCTAAGTGAATTTATTTCAGTTCAACAAACTAATGCTAATGGCACTTTAAGTTTGTTTATATCTGTGTTTGCATTTGTGTGTGTGTATTTTGTTGTTGTGTGGTTGAAATAGGTTCAATAATAGTTTCATCTTTGAATGAGGTGTGAATTAAAGCAAAACTTAATAAGGTTTTATTGTGCTTCATAACAGAGTAGACACACTGTGTAATCTTACAGTTTTATAATCTAGTGAAGACCAAAGAGAAATAAATATCTTACAATGTAGAACTATATCCAAGGTCAAATACAGTGGTGCATTTATCTAAGATAACTAGCTCTTATTCTAGGGAAAATCAGGCTTTTTTTTTTTTTTTAAAGCATTTTTATGAACATACTGTATTTGTTTTTCACAGAACCTGTAATGTGTGCATGTGGTATTTATCAATTTTATAGTCATTATTGAGTCTACGCTATCTTTGCAACATTTCCCAGCTAGCTCTGCAATATTTTTCCAGTATGCATTTTTCTATTTCCACTATTCCCATTGTAATTAAGGCTCATGTTATTTCTGTTTGGCTCATTTAGTGACTTCTACTTCAGTTATACTCCAGCCCAAGCACTTATGTTAGTTTGGAGGATCCAGAAATAATTAGTCATATACACCCTGCCTTTGAGGAACTCACAAGATCAAAGACTAGCTGTTTGTGTCAGGTCTACTCAGTACATAATGCTAGATTAC